TGTATTTCTCATTTTTCCTATGTCAAGTTACAAGTTACAATCATTGAGATTCAACAATCTCACAAACATGATATTGCCAATCCACAGTCTTTGGTAAAAGATTCTGCAAAACTTACTCATAAGTCACTCAGAATTTCTTTTAAACTTTGATTTTCTCAAAATACAACTCTTACAAGTTAGTGTTGCATTTTATGTTGCTCACACATCTGTATATAAGGATTTTATCATGCACCTTATATATTCAATATTCTTTACACTTAGTGTATCTAAAATAAAAAGTTATTATCCTCAACATGTACTAATAATGATGTGAAACTTTGTTTGAACTGACTATAATAACAGGATAGCATATCATATTATAAATCACAGTTTTTCTAAATTCAACAACAACCTGAGCATTAGAAAAATAATTCAATATTTTTAAACTTGTTGAATTATTAATCTGATTCTATGATTTAATAAAATATTAAATTATCAACTTGATCAAATTATTTGTGAAATACAGCAATCTGCTGAGATAAATTGATCAACATATAATATCTATCAGGGTAAAGATTGCCCTGATAGATATTATATGATACTGATATACTGATTTTTTTCTTCCAGAACCTTCTAAATTAATTATTAAAATATTAATTTAGTTATAATTATTAAATTTAGCAAGAGATTGCACCTAACACCTATCTCTAATGCCAAATTACTTAGCATTTAATTTATAATAGTAGTAATATAGTCCAATATAATTCAACAATCATTTGGCTTTAATTTATAACTATTGGGTTTGGATGTTTATAATTGCCATATGCATTCTTTATTTCTGGAGATAGCATCATATGTTGCATAAAGAGTGTATACAGGCATAAGCCTGATGCATTCAAACTGCTTCAAAACAAGAAAGACCAAGTGGATATAGGAAGAACATTGGAGTCTGTAAAATTCTGCTTAAAGACTACAGATTTGATAGAGACCTTGTATACATCAGGTCTACAAAGAGGTCTCACAAGCAGCACATTCTTGAATGTAAGATTGATATAGAAGAGACAAATCACCTCCTTGACAATATATGCAAGTGATAATCAGATTAAACCAAAACTCCAGTAAGCTGCCCTAATATGAAAAACATACATACAAATCTGCTCAGAAATTTAGAGGTACTAAAAAATATTTAATGCAGACTTCCAGTGCCTATCCATCAATTTTAAGAAAAACAGATCTCAAGAGCATGGCAAGCCATATTCAACTGAACATTTAATAGGCAACATATAGTCTGTAAACAGATGCACCTCATCAGATAATTAAGAAAAATTTAAAGAGAAAAACATTCAAATTTGAATACACTGGAGTGTCTTCTACACATTCCAATCTATAATGTCAGTACCAGAAAGATTCAATTTTGGAAAAATCTACCTGAAGGTCTTAGGTGTAAACAAAAATGTTAGTACAGTAGAGTCTCGAAAACTCGGCCTAATGTGGACCGAAGGGTGGCCGAGTTTGTGAAAATGCCGAGTTATCGTGAATGGGGTTTATAAAAATAAGTATGAATGTTTCCTCAGAAAATACTGTACTGTACTTGTATGTATTGTTTACTCGAGAATACAACAGAGAATAAACTGCCCAAATACCCTTAAACAAAAGAAAAGTACGTCCTTTATGAAGGCATAGAGCCTTTACTACATGAAAATGAAAATTAATGAATACACTGTGTACAGTAATTTACCTGATAAGACAGACCTCAGAAAAATACTTTATGAGGCATAAAGCTGTCTATAATGAAAATTAATTAACTAAGGATTTTTTTGCCCTGCCAGGGTGTGGCCGAGTTATCCGGACTGCCGGGTTATCTAGTGCCGAGTTTGAGACTCTACTGTAATGGTTTTCTCACTTACATGCAAGACCTACATAAGGTTGGTGAACTTCATGTTAATTGATGTCTTATTATTAGAAGATCAATTGATCAATGTGTTATTTTTACATAAAAATTAAATCTTGGCTGAATATTTGATACTACAGGACACAGATCCTTTTTGATGTTTTTCAGTTTACCCATTTTGCTTTTAAACTCACAGATGCTGAAAATGTTACTTTGCATAAATACATAATGCAAAATTATACTATTGTCAAATTTTTTGCAACTCCACATTTAGTTATGCAAACCCTTTGGGGTTGTGACCCATAGTTTAAGCAGCCCTGCATTTTAGCAATACAAAATTCAAAAACATTTCTTCTTAGCATATAGAATTCTAACTATAAATTATTTTTATTCATAATTGTAATTAATATTTTTATGTATATTATGTCAATTTCATCCATTTATAGTTTTAAAAATTAAAAGCTATAGTAAATATAAAAAGTATAATATTCCTATGATAAGCTGATGTATGTATTTCAAGATTATAATAAAATTATACATGATTTTTCATAATTAATAATATAACTTTAACTTTCTAACTTAAAATACAACTGATTGTGATATAACTTTTTATTGACAAATTTCTTTCTAATATTTAATATGAGAAAAGAAATGTTTAAAAATGCTTAGCACATTAAAAAATATATTGTGTACTATTTGCGTGTTTTGATAAATTACAAGAAAAAATTTCAAAATGTGTATTCTGTGATGATCTTAGGTATCTGAGACCATATGCATATTATATTGAATGAATCATCTTTTTCAAATGTTTTCAACTTTTATCAAGTTTCAACTTCAGGATTTTAATTCTTCACAAATATCCATTTACATTAATTTATACAGCAGACTCTCACTAATCCAGTCATTCCTTGCACAGAGGGATGATGGATTAGCAATGGTACCAGATTACTGAATATATAGGCCTAAAGGCAATGAATAGCATGACCTGTTGCCTTCCACTACCAATTCTTTTTGGAGGTAGGTGGGCAAAGCATACAACACACTAAAATGCAATATTCTATGCAGAAATTTAATCCAAGTTAACAAGAACACAGAATATGTGACCTGACTAACATTTTCATAAAATGGGAGCACGTAGGTAAGCAACTGGAAGGTATGCTGGATTACTAATGGTTAGATTAGTGAGTGTCTACAGTATTTTATAGTTTTATAAGAATTGACTTGAATAAATGGAATGAGGCAACACAACACATGGGTGACGTGCATAGATAGGGGACCAGATTTATAATTTTTTTTGGAAAATTCAAGAACATGTGCCAATCATCACTTTTTAGGGTACAGAGTAGCAGCCTACATGTATAAATACTGTGAAATGGATTTTAATTTTGATTGAGCTCATTCACTTCAATCAAATAGCTCTCCTCCAATAATATTTATAGCTATTTACTTCTGATGCTTTTTTAAACTGCATTTTTGTCCATATTTTAAACTTTGACTCCTTTTTGGCATTTCCTCAAAAAATTGGTTACTTCATAAAAAAATTACCTGGCAACCCTGAAGACATTGGACAAGTCCTCCAGCAGAAAAACTGGCAGTGACATTATAGTAACCACAAGGAAACAAAAAAAATGAGACAAGACTCCTTTCCGGGGATGCTTCTTTGCTGGGGACAGAGGGTCAAAACAGGGACTGCCCTTAGAAATCAAGAACCCTAGCGTAGAAGGAGTGCCCCCTGGGAAGACCATCTACTTGAAATTTGCCCATATTTAGATGTTAGATACAAAGAAATATGGAAAATTCCACATGGTCAGCCTATTGGTTATGCAAAATCTGCAACCAACCACCTACTTCTGTGATTTTTTCCACTCTGCTAGTGGTGGGCAATTTTATTGTCAACAAATCATATTAAAATCCAAATTAAAGCCTTTATAATTTATCACATATAATTTAAATTAGAGCATCATTCCTCTTAATACAGAAAATCAACAAAATTGTTATTAACAAATATACTATCAAATAATTTAATGAATTTTGTTAATTTATTTGATGATACATTCTAAAATTAATGAATATTTATTAATTGTTTTAAATAAATGAACTTATTTGTACAGATAAAAATGTCATAACAATCAAAATGAATCTTTTCTGATCTTTCAACCATAGAGTCTAATCCAGATTGGATAAACTTGGTTACATGTAGGATGCCAAGCATCTTCAATAAATAAATAAAACCATTTGTTTCTTTTTAATTCTCTTTCTGCCCAGTGGATACTAAAAGGTGCTTGTTACCAAGCCCATCATGGCTTACAACAATGAGACCAGAGTTCAAGTGGTTAAGTACAGAATCCAAAATATCTGGAGCAGCCCACTTCCTGAAAAATTCCTGGGGTTATTTAAAACTGCCAAGATTCAGTCCCAAGTCCTCCAATGCTAGGTCAATGCCTCAACTACCCAACCAGCAAATCAAATCATTTTATATACGTACCGAACAGGCCAAAAACGTTTACCTTTCTTGTATTAAAACATATTTCTGGAATATTAAATAGTTTAAATGCATGTTTGATATAACCACTGAATAGACAGGAATCCAAATGTTCCATAAAACAAATAGTAATAATGTTTACATATTTCTAGTGAAAATAGTAAGTCAAATGAGGTCTTTCGTAAAAATTAATTCTGAAACATTAAGAAAAAGCAGACTCATTTGAAGCCATTCTGCAAGTATTATTATTTTTTTTTACTAATACAAATGTTTAATATAATTAGCATAGATTCTTTATATTTGAGTTACTTAACTCTAATTTAAAAGAACAACAACAGAAACTTCAAGGAAGAAACTAATTCAAAACTTCATTGAGACATTTAAAAAAAAAAAAAAAAATTCGGGTCGCTATCTTCTATACAAAGTCTACTTTGATGCATTATTTATAATTGCGGTTCGGTTATCGAAATAACCTAAGAAACTGCTGATTAATTAATTGAATTCAAGTAATATTTCAAAAAGTGACAAGAAAAATTCACGAAACACAACCGGGAGATATTGACACGTGGATAAGTGTGCAGGTATTTTGATGATAGTATTGATGTAATTAAAGCAGAAACTATCTTTAATTATTTAAAAGTTACGTACTTTCGGAAATCGGATGCAAAAAATCCACCCGCTGCAGGATCCGAAGCAATTTCGGTATCATTTAGCGAAGAAGGAACTCTATCGTTAGAGTAAACACAGTTCGACGCCATTTTTGATTCCCACCTACCACTACAGTGACATCGCAGTAATGTTTATAAAATTATATCTAAAATTTTGTGAAATAAAAACATTTAAATATAATTTTATTAATGTTATATACGATAATATTATTTAATCTTTTCAATTACTTTTTTTTTAAATTTATTTATTTATTCTGCTAGGTCATCTACATCGATCTACACGATTGATTAGAATCTAGGATACGTTCTCCACATTCTGTAGGATAGACCTTAATTTTTTTTTTAATTATTGAAGAAATAAAATATTAATTAAATAATTTTATATTAGTTTTATTAACTTATAGAATTATTACAAATTCATACATAAAATTTTTTATTATTGTGTCGTGTTTTTCTACAATTTTTGAAAAGTTAATACAGTATTCTTTCCGTGGCGGCCGATAGCTGAGCCTACCATTCCGGTGAACCCGGAATCGAATCCAAACGGGTCAAAAAATCTCCAAGAATTTTTCGGGAGTGGTCCGTCCGAATATGTCGGGCCCCGTCCCTCACCTCCCGGTCGCCTCATTGTGGGCCTGGCCGAACCCATAATGGGCTTGCTTAACGAGGGCCATTATGGGTTCGAAGACAATTATCACTAGCCCAAAAAGTAGCGTGTCGCCCAATTTGAAATTTTTGTAGCGAGGGCACTTAAAAAGTAGCCCAATCTGGCAACCCTGGGCCCGAACGTTCCATCGTCCGTTTGACCCGAAAGGGGCGATTAACCCAGCAGGGGGAGGCAGGAGGGTATAAAAGGGGTAATCGGGCCGGCGAGAAGGAATTTGGTTGGTGAGAGTGTGAGACTGTGTCGGGCTCGAGAGTGAACTGGACGAACTACGAGGTCAACAAAGAAGAAAAGTGATCGAAGTTTGAGCTGGAAGGCGAGAAAGGAGTGGAAAGAGAACTTCTAGACGATTTTGTTCATGTTTAAAATTTTGTACGGTATTTATATGTTCTGTGTGTAACCTACGCGTGTCGGGAAAGTTTTACTGTCGCGAAAAAGGAAATTACAGAGAAGCTATTTGTAGTACTTATTGATCCTGTTGTTAACCGGTTTCTGTGTCGAGAAAATATATCTTACAATGGCGTCCGCGACAGGATCTGGTGTGTAAACTACCTGTGGGCCTTCTCGGTAGTTCTCTGTATAACGATTATACGGTTATTTGTCTGTACCCTGTGAATGAACACGATGCGCGAGCCGGATAGTCTTCGTGAGGCCCCTCTCAATGGAACTAATGTAGTGTCTCCCCCAGTTATTACGGGTTTCCTCGGGATAATCCCCACCTTTTCGAATACTAGTAGTGACTCGGTGAATATACGCCAATTTTTCCAAACAGTCGACAATGTTGCCCGCCTGGCCAGATGGGATCCAGAAGTAAAGATTGCGATATCGCAGGCCAAACTCAAAGGAGGACCATTGTCTACATTCTTCTTACAAGACTTGTATTCCCATTCTTTCGACGATGTGAAAGATAATTTAATCAAGAGGTACGACAGGGCTGAATTCCAGGAGAAAAGCGCATTTGACCAACTGCTGGGCATTCGACAATTAAGGGAAGAGAAGGTATGTGATTATGTTATTAGACTTAATACCATGTTTTACGGGGCTGTATCTAAAGATAACCAAGTTTAGTTGCTCCGTGACAATGTCGTGATGAAGAGATTCATAAAAGGGCTACATCACCAGCTCTGAGAGCACGTCCTCCGCGGCGGACCTAAAACCTTAAATGAGGCTATAGATATCGCGGAACGTGAAGAAAAAGTCGGAAATGAGTGTGGGAACCTCGGAAACAATAGAACCATTTCCGTTATACAAAATCCAAAGAATTAGTGCGACGATAGGGTGGAAAACGCTAGTGCCGAGGCAGAGAAAAACGACAGATTAGCTCGTTTGGAAGCAGAAGTGAGTTCACTGCGAATCTGTCGCTCAACTGGCCGAGAATAGCCGTGCGAGACAGAGAATAAGCAGTCGGGGAGTAGGCGATGTTTCATATGTAATGATCCGAATCACCTAGCGAGGAAATGCCCTAAGTGAAAACCTTCAAATTTAAACTAAATATGGAACAGAATGAATGCCAACTCTGTTCCCAGCTGTATAATAAGTCTGGCTGGTGTGGATATATCTGAGAAGGGACTCCCGATTATAAGAGGGACCATGCAACAGCTGGATGTGGCAATGCTGTGTGATACGGGCGCCGAGAAATCGGTAATGGTCACCGATTTACTGGGTAGATTAGAGCTCCAGCATGGCCACAGGTCGCAGCTTCCTTTGCATAAAATGTTGGAGATGCTTCGTCTGTATATTTGGGTATATACTATACTGGGAGGACACATTTTTATGCCCATCATGAGTTCGGTTAGACCCTCAATGGGGGAGGTCGGGTTGTGAGAAAGGGAATCCGTGAAAAATTCCTGGGGACAGAGTTGCATTTCAGGATTCGACAAAGCGGTAGGTTGACGTCTTAACTGTCTCGACAATAAACTTTATGAACATGTTCATAAAGTTTATTTATTTTTTTAAAGTTATTATTAAGTAAAGTTTTCGAACGCTCTCTTTTACACGTCAAATTCAAAAGTACAGGGCATTGAACTTTATCCAAGTTTATATATTCATACAAAAATGTTCTATATGTTCAAATGTAATAAAAACATAATATGGTCGACTTGTTATACTTTCAAATATATTATTTACGTAGCTGCACACTTACTTTACTTTTTATTATTACTTAATGTTTCCGGTAATACAGGAAACAATTTTCTACTTGATAAGTTACTACTTCGTGCGGTTAGAACATATTTTAAAATCATTATTGAATAAATTTAGATATTTATGAAATGCCGTAGACATAGCATTATGATGTGTGTTTCTTATAAATTTTAAACATATTTAAATGTGTTATAATGTAAAATTTGTATACGAGTACTTCCCTTCTGTAAACTTTGTTGTAACCAATATTTCGAAAATATCGCATATTTTTCAAAGTAGTAAAATTATTATTACATTGACTATTAATTAATTAATTTTTATTGTACTTTTGATAAATAAATTTAATAATTATGATAAAATAAAACGCACTTTCTATCAGCTGTAATGAACAAAAATATATTGCACTCTACGCACTTGAATTTGATCCTTTTTTGCATTAATTTAACCTGCATCAAGCGAAGTTGCTGAATATAACAATCTCCGGTTCTGTCTTACTCCTCTGTGATGAAACGCGTTGGAAACAATACACACATTCTTTCTAGGTATTGCTATTCTCGGAAGCAATCAGGAATCCAGTTGCTATTCTCGGAGCAGTGAGGAATTCGGCTAAGTTAATCAGTTTTGACGATGATGAAATGTTGGAGGATGCAAAGGACAAAGGTCTCTTGCATTCTTCAACTTCTCATCTTCACAGCAACGCAGGAGTATAATTAACAGGAAAATTTTACCGAAATTTCAGTCGAACTTCAGTTTTTGCAAAAAAGTTTTCTACCTTTATTCGAGGCTTTATTAAGTCCAGGTTGCTGAGGTCGGGGGTTGAGAATCTTCTCAACCCCCGACCTTTCACATTTGAACTTTTCTCATTATCCTCATTTTTGGATTCAGAATATAATGGTTGAGATTGGGGAAGATACTAAGTTATGATTTCTTTTTCAGGGTCATCGTCACTCAAATATATGTTGAAATTATCTCAATTTTTGATTATTTCATTAATTCATCATTAGTTAAAACTAAAAGATTGTGAGAAATTAAAAAGCAAACTATTTATGTATACGGGCAAAGTGGTCTGAACAACAAAACATTTTTAAAAATACAAAATAATAATAGTTACTTGAAAAGAGATTAAACCTGCACGCAATTACAAGGAGTTAAGAAAATAGTGTATGAATTTTAAACCCTTATCCATCATGATGGATTGTCTAAAATACCCTTTATTCCTATTAAAAGTTAAAAATTCTCTAACTTCTTTTTGAATATATTAATTAACTCTACATCTTATTGGATAGTGGAATCGACGAGGATAAATGCTTAATTTCGTGTCTTTCTTCTGTTAATTAGCAAATTTTATCCACAGAAAAAACAATTGTAATCTCGGACCTTCCTAATGGAAGCACGACTTGTTTTCACATAGTCATAGGCAAAGGTATAGTTGGAGAATATATTTAAATTTAGTAAGGCTCTAACAAATAATCTATAAATATAATTTAATATATTTTAAAATTTACTATATAATCAAAAGTCCTGTGATATTTCTCCAAGTTAATATTTTTAAATTTACTTTTTTGGAATTTTACTTGATACATAATCATTACAAACTAATAATGAATGACACGAAAGATGTATTCAACCTTAAAATACAAATGTTTTCCTAATCTCATGTACTCAAGCATGACTTTTCAAGCATTTTCTTTTATCGTTATAGCTACAATATTGTGTTTAATCATTTTCAAAAATTAAACATCAAACAAAAGAAATTAGCATTAATTTATATTCATTAAAAAATAATACATCAATATGCTAATATAATTGATAATTGGCTTATTGTTATTAATATTAAATACAGTCGACCCCCTATAACACTGTTGATTTTTCCATTTTATATGAAATCCAAGTTGGAATTCATATAAAATGGAAAAATACGTGTGCCGGGCTGTGAACGGCTCACGTATTTGTAAAATCTAAGTGACTCGTACAACATGGAATTTGTATAAAATGGAAAAATCAACAGTGTTATAGGGGGGTCGACTGTTGTATATTAAAATCTGCCTAAAATTGCACCTCTACGAAAAGGAAACCTGGCTAAACGGAAAATAAATCTCGAAATATACGATTTTCTGTGTATGCTTTCCAAGAGGACAGATACAGATACAGATACAGATATTTATTGATCAATATGCCATATGGCATATCCCGGTGCCACTAAGTATTACCGGGTATATACAGGAAATTACATAGTTTACACTGAAGATTTCGATAACTAATTATTAACGTAAATAAAATTAATTAACGCGTGTACAATTATATATATGAGGTTATACACGCGTGCAAAACATTAATAAGTATAAATAGATAAAAATAAATTTAAAACATAAAAGTTGCTGGAAATGTGACAGAGTCATAACATTATATAGTTACACGAGGAACATATGTTTTGTTATCTTACGCGGCAATTCTGTTTCAGCAGAGGTTTTCGAATCAGACTAGATAAAAGTTTTTTTTTTTTTTTTTTTTTTTTTTCTGCTGAAGTGAAACTCCTGCACAATCCAGACCAGGAGACTTATACAGATCTTATTAGAATATAGTCCTCTGTCAACGATTTTCCAGAATTAGTTGTCCAACGCCTTTGCTCTTCCTTATAAATCTTGCTGCTAGCATAGCTCCAGGTATATCTTGTGTGATTCTTATTGCCATGGTACAGCTCCAGGCACACCACTGTTATCCACAAAATTTGCCTCTTATGTATGCATGAGAAGCAAACGCCGATACAGAATCACAATGCCAGTAGATGCACTTAATTCACATATGTAGCAGACAAATTCTTCTCGAATATCACTGTTGCACAACGTTTGTGGAATTATACCAGAGTAGTAGTCCAGCCAGAACAGTAGACCAGCCGAAGGAAGACGCTAAATAAGGTTTCAACACAGTTGTACATCATCTATGACGTTCAATGTATGGATACTTTGATTATTTATTGAAGTCTCTTATCATTGATGAGACACATTTCTGAGCACAAATACATAACATCATATATTATTTAGGGAAGAACCAGTGCATTAGACCTATCGATGAAGGACACTGTATAGAGTTTCAACACAGTTGTACAGCATCTATGATGTCCTATGATCACATACGTTGGTTGTTTATTGAAGTCTTTCGTCAATGATGTGACATATTTTTGGGCATAGTAATACAAAGTCAAAACCAGATTCCTTAAGCAAATATTTCACAAGTACGGCCAATCAAGTATTATAAAAAGAGTAGGGCACATAAGTATAACTAGGGTAAGTGTGTTAACGAGAATACAACAAAACATGTAAAATATATAATAATAAAAGAAATAAAATAGACAAAACGCCGATAGAGAACCCATGGTATCAATGCTAAACCTTCCAAAAGAAAATGCAGACTACAAGTACAATCACGAAATAATTATATTAGGGTAATTTATATTTTTACTAACCAACAGTTGGCCATTAATGGCCAGAATAAGCTGGTACACTGGTCCTTACAAAATACATGTTAACGAGTTGTACAAAGGCATCGAAGGTATCTTTGTGATCAAAGAGACGTTCTAAGGTGGGAGGTGGCCAATGGAGATCATGAGACTCAAGTAACAGTTTTAAAATCAATCTTTCATTTTCTAGCATAGGGCATGTATAAATATAATGATCGCTGCTGTCGTTGCAATCACATATAAGACATCTTGAGTTTGATGTGCCCTTGAATCTTGAAAGGTATGAATAAAATCTCCCATGATTTGTTAATATTTGTGTGAGTTGGTGGGTAGGCTTGTACCATTTATTACTAAGGAAATTTGTAATATCTGTAATATATTCATGTGTTTTATTATTAATATTATTCCATTGAAGCTGCCATGCATGAATTACTTCTTTCCACAGGATAGTTTTAATTGTTTGTATACTAATTCTTTTGTAAGATACAGGTAAGTCCTCCTTATAAGAAGCCTCTTTTGCAAGTTCGTCTGCCAGTTCATTTCCATAGTGCCCTTGATGTCCTCGAATCCAGTTTATAGCGAAATGACAAGTGGATGTATTTATGATATCTTGTATACGATTTGCAATCGGATGATAGTTTCTGGTTTTTAGCAGAGCTATGGCAGAAGAACAATCAGTATTAACAGAAATCCTTTTGTTTGTATAATTATGCTTACACCAAGCAACAGCCATTTGAATGGCGAACAATTCGGCTTGGAAATTTGAGCAATTTTCACCAAGTCGATATTGTTCCATAGTCAATATCTCTTCACGGCAGTATGCAATAAAACTGCAGCCTACTCGGTTACCCGTTTTAGAGCCATCTGTAAAAAGATGAAAGTCTGCATTATCATAGGTGTTAATAGCAAAATTATTTGTGGTGGCAGGATGTCTTGATTGATTAAAAGCCACTGGTCTTTCGACGTCCTCTGCCCTAATAATGTAATCATCAGTTTGTATATTCTGTCCCCATTTGATATGCCAAATTTTTGCAGTATAGTCAATGATTTTATCAATAGGAGGACATCTTGCCAGAACTTGGATGGAGACATTAGGGGTTGTGCAATAAGCTCTGGTCAACTGGATGAGCGCCTTTCTTTGTGCAGATATAAGTTTTCTATTTATATGAATTTTATATATATCTTGGCTCCAGCTACCGCAAGCATATGTAATTATTGGTACGAAAATTTGTTTGTATATGATGTTAAGGGCATCGGTAGTAAGTCCCCAGCGTCTCTTAGCAAAGCCAGTAAGAATATTAAATATACTGCCAGTACGATCAGTTATGTATGCTATGTGTGTATTCCATAATAAACGATGGTCTAATATGATTCCTAAATATTTGATGGATTTAACAATTTTAACACTTTGTCCATCCATCTTAATAACCGGGGTCCTCCGGTAGAGATTCGGTTTACCAGGTTTATTAAAAACAATTCCCATCGTTTTGTTAATGTTAAAGGTAAGTTTGTATTCCTTACCCCATTTGCTTATCTTACATAAAGTATCGTTACCGAAGATCTCTAGAGCAGCTCTCGAATTACCCCCCAGAAGAACGATTGCATCATCTGCATAAGCAATTGTTACGTGGCCAAAGCTCTGTCTTAAAAAGTTGTCAAAGACAGTATTCCACAAGATAGGGCCACATACAGAGCCCTGAGGGCAACCCCTAACGACATTTCTACGCATAATGTGAGCACCATAACACAGCTCTGCAGTTCTATTGTTTAAGTTTTCCAAGAGGACTTTCGAGGGAAACTGGTTTTTATTTAGATGTTACAAATATGAAGAAAACTTAGGAAACTCCACATGACTGGCTCATTGGTCAGGGGCGAACCCATACCAACTATCAGCGTTTAGTGGTTTTATCTACTAGGCCAGATTATGTAAATGATTCACTTTTTTTAAAATAAATCATAGAAGATTATCTTAACACACAGTTAGCAACTTTAAATCGAAATATTATCACAATCATTTGCATTTATTAGTATAGTAAAACCTGTTTAAAGCGGGACGCCATTCACCTTTCAGCTTTCATTTAGATACGTTTCTACTTTTAGAGGCTTGTGGTTTTGTTAATAGGTCTAGAGAAAAATTAAAAAAAAAAAAAAAAATTACAATTCAAATTTTGAATTGCTCGTCCTCCAAATGTTTCGTGATTCAAAGTCACGTTGAAAATACTAAAACATGTATTTGATGCGCAAATGGAAACAATCTGTGCAAAAACATACTACATTTTAAAATGTTTTAGCACACGTGCCTCCCAAAAACGAAAGCATCTGAAAAAGATGGTTGTTATTCTCGGTGTTACTCCCAACTCTTCTAAATTAGGAAAGAAACGCGATATTGCATTGTCATAGGGATCGTCCATAAATTACGTAACCCATAATCTTCGATCAATTCCCTTAATTGAACTAAGAACCATCACGGAAACGTTACATTATTATTACGTAACAGTTTTGTAAACACCACCACCGCTTTGCAACACATCGTAACGATTACCTGCACACCCACCCACACATATCTGCTTTACGTAATTTCTGAACAGCTCCATAACTGTTTTCCAGGCAATGAAAGTACAATCGATATAGATAATGATTCTTCGTAACAAGACGGAGCGCGAAACCTATAGAGCTAGTGGAACTGAGTTGAGCGCTACCTGTACGCAAGCAAAGAAAACTGTTTCGGGAAAACACATGCGTCTTTGGATTGGATACGTACTGAGATGCGGTGCTTGTTTTCTTCCTGTGATAACGAACCACAGCTTTCTGCCACACAAAACGTCAAAAAATAACTGTCGTATGGTCGGTTGTAGTGTTACCTATATTACTGCGCCGCCAGGTACAAAGTTTTATTCGTCCCGAATGAACAATATCCTGGGAAGAAAGAGAAATGGCTGGCTGCAATTTAATTTCTGAGGTTAATTACATAATGATGTGTTGCATTCTAACCAATCTTCAATCTCCCGTTATAAAACCTTAGTTGGCTTTATTTTAAATTTAGTTCTTTAATGTAAAGTTTAGTAATTTTCTTCTTTTTTTTTATATTAATTTGTTAATCTGACATTAATTGGCATATGATGTGATATTTGAATTTAAGAGCTCTGTGGAAGAAAGGAGTAAGAAGCAAAATTAGTATTTTGAGGAAATGAAGGTAAAAGTTCTCCCTGTTAATACAATACTATTAGCTACTGCTATGGTCCTTATTGAAACTCCTTTATATATATGGTTAGTTACAAATTTCATTATTTACCATGCAATGGATATATAGTTGACTTCTTCCACACCACCCTTTAAATTCTACAAAATTAAGAGTATAATAAATATTAGAATATTAATACTGCTCAGCCCTAATGATCTACAGCCACTTCTCAAGTTACGACCATTTTGACTTACGTTCGAAGTCGCGGAACCGAACCCCCGTCGTAAGTTGAAAAGTGACTGTATTGACTAATGAAGGCATTACTTTGACATATATACTTATAAATAATATATAAATTTATAATTTATCAAATTATTATAAAATATTTATTAAAATATATATAGTGTTACATGTAACATACAAAATTCATACAGGATAAATTCTTATATTGCAAGAATGCTATTATTCCTCAACAACAATCGAATGAACAAAATGTTGAAACAAAAGTAATGAACACGAAGTACTAAACTTTAAAATTTATCACATTGAAAAATCATTGGTAAGATCATCATCATCATCATCAGAATCTTCCTCACTACAATGTTTTTGTATGGTTGAAGCAGATGATGGTTTACAAGCGTAACATTTTATCGTTGTTGCTTTTAAGTAGCTCCTTCGCTAATAACAGTGTTTTACAGGAATCGGTAAGAACTCGATTTTGTAGTTTAGTTTTTATTAAATTTAATTGCAAAAAAATACGTTCAACTGCTGCACTTGAATGAGGAAGCAATAAAAACATTATTTGTTGCCAAAGTAAAGTAAAAACATATAGAAATATAAGATAAAAATGAATGTTTTGAAAGGTACTAGATTGAAAGGAAAGTTATTAGGATTTCATGAATAGTAGACTACTAGGAAAATGGTGTTGGGCATCTTGGTACTGGAACAAGTAAAAAAAGGTACAGTAGAGCGTCGTTTATCCGAAGGCCGGTTATCCGAAACGTCGGTTATCCGAAGGAATTCCAGTCGACAAATTTAAATTTTCGCCAGTGCTGCGGCGCTGTAATCTTTGGCTATGTCTTGGGCTACTCAAATATTTTACGTTTTCGATACAAAATTAACTTCTGAAGTATAATTTTTTATTGTTTATATATTTTTCAATATATTTATTTTGTTTGTACAAAATAAAAAAATAATTTTTAACGATACAATAGTCTTCGTTAGGCTTAACATCGACGAAAATTCAACGCGAAGCGACACGCAACGGAGAAAAATTTCAACACGGGATAAATTAATATATTTTTTCGTACATAATTGGTTATCCGAAAAATAAGTTATCCGAACAATCCCAGTCCCCAATTGATTCGGATAAACGACGCTCTACTGTACTAGATTAGTACAAAAGTACTAGGTGGAACAACACTGGTGCTGCCTTTATAGCCGCAATTCTGTTACCCAGCGAGAGGCGCCTCGATCTAGTTTCGCCGTTCCTTCCACTAGCTCTATATCAGATAGCATTAGTTATTTTAGAATTTAGCTGCTGTTACGCCGAAATATTCCTCTTTTAGCAGGTTGTTATGAAATTGGTACCTAAAAATCTTACGTTTCCGTGTCGTACAGGTTCCGATTTACATTGCAAACTGTAATGGGCATGATTGTAAATTTGATTTACAGTAAAAATGAGTCCGTTTTAGACAGGTTTGACTGTAATCGATTCGTGTCAATTTTTATTTATTTTACTTGAAAATTTTGACAAACCGAGGATGGAGTAAAATAAATGACATTACTCTTTCTCAAAATATAAACAATGCACAAATTTTTCCGTGTTAAGATGTATTGAAATCACCACTTTCATCGATTAAGGTGTCAACTCAGTAAAACAAAGAAACAAAGTTTAGAGAATGTGGGAAAATATCCGCTACGATTTGAAATTTGATAGTACTGTATCAACTTACATACAGATAGGCCTACTTATAAAATAAACAAAAACATATCTTAAAATCTTAACGTCATAAATAAAAGAACACGTATCGAAGTCTGACTGTAAACTCAGTTACAAGTTTAATTTTCAGATGAATTTTAATATGTTTAAACCTCGATATTGCACCCTCCTAAATAGCGCCAAATATATATTTGAATGGATTTTCTTTGTAAATCATACTCATATAAAAGAAAGGAATTGATCATACAGGCTCAATGTATGTTCAATGCCTGAACATATTTTGTGAAGTAGCTCTGTGAAATCTTTAAAAAGATGAATAGACTAAGATTTATGAAAATATTAGAGATTTTATTCAGTATGGATGCAAGTCATTCTACTTGTAATTGGAAACTCATACCAACTATTTAAGTTCCTTGCTTGTTTTAATTAAATTAAAACAAGCAAGTTCCTTGCTTGTTTTAATTTAAAAATTAAATTGCTTGTTTTCGGCAGTTGCTAAATGTGCGATTTTGATTAAAAAACGACATTTTTATCTCCAAATTATACGACTTGTATGTATACTTTACACGTATAATCCCATTACTAGATATAATTCTTATTGTCAAAGATATTTCAGTTTAGCACTATACTCAATTTAATGCGAATTGCAAATCAGAGTTTGATTTCCACCAGTGATCGAGCGAATAAAACTACCGAACAGGTCGTCGCCGAGCTAGTCATAGTTTCTTCACGTGTTTAACCCCTTAATAGGGGTCAGTTTTCCATATTTTTAAAGTTGTTTAACACCTAAATAGTTATTAGTTATCCGTACAAAGTCTTCTCGAGTCGCACCCCCTTGACAGATAGCCGAAGTGTTGGACGACCAGATGGCCGAGTGGCCAAAGTGGCAGCCTACCGCTCTGGGAGACCCAGGATCAATCCGGACGAGTCGAAAAAGCCCCAGAAATTTTTAGGTGTGATCCGTCCGGATATGTCGGGCCCCTTCCCTCCGCACCCGACCTCATTGTAGGGCTGGCCGAACCCATAATGAGCGTGCTAAAAGAGGCCGGAAAATATAAAATACCCAAGTGTTGCATTGATTTCTCCTATTAATCAATTCAATCTGAAATTTGATTGTACGGTACATCGAATGCAGCGTGTTATTAACAAGAAATTTAATTGAATTGACATTGTCTATCTGGCTACTAACCTTCTCTTTTATTTTATATGCGTTAGAAATACCAAAACAGTCATGTATTTAATCTGGAGATAGTAAAATCGTTATCTGTATGAGATGTTGTGAATAATTGTGTTTTAGATAAGAAGATAGAGGTCTACGTACTATAATACAGAATTTTAATTTATATTTTTAATAAGATTTGATATAAAATATAAAAGTATCGAGTTTCATATCACTAAAAGGACGATGAAAGAAACTATGCAATTTTTCATATCCAAATATTGCTGAAATGTTATAACAAAAGAAGATACGTGACTAAATTAATTGTGTAAATCTTTATCTTTTATTAAATAGTAATCTAGAATAAGTAGACTTTGATCATAATATTATCAGAACAGTAAAACACATATTGCGTTATTTGATGTTAAGACAGACGATTGTAAGGATAGAGTTACCAAATACAAAATTTCTAGTACTTAGATTTTCTTAAACAGTTTTTTTTCGCGTGTTTAATTAATCTATAAATAGATTGTTTGTACGAAGTCCAAAAACTCTAAACAGGTTCTTTTAAATGTCCGAATTAAAAAACTGATGTCACTCAACCAAGGATGTCCAGAGAAGGACAAAAGGAAAAAATTGTCCTGAGTTCCGGGAAGCGGGAGCCCTTTTACAATGTTTTTTTCGTCTATTTCTCTCACTTTAATAATACAATTTGAGATAGGACCTCAATATGTATTTTGTCCCAAGCCCCATTACCCTCTGATCGGTCCTGAATTCAACAGGCAAAAGTATGTGGGATGTTTAATCCCTTTTTAAATAAAATTTGATATTATTTTCATAAAATACGAGTTTTATATCGCTAACAGGGCAATTTACGAAAAGAATTTTGCCACAATTCCCTTAAATATCCTCAAAAACTGATGATCCATACAGTGCCGGCCCAAGGCGAATTTCAGGATGGAGCGAGATCCTATTATGGCGCCCCCCTCGGCTGCCCCTAATTTATACCCTTTAATTTTCTTTACCACTGAGGCGCCCCCTAGGACTTAGCGCCTAGAGCGGCTGCTCCGTTCGCCCAATGGTAGGGCCGGCTTTGGATCCATATACAAAAGTACTTGAAATGTCATCAGTTCTTGAAATTCGAACATCAGTGAAATGAAAATCATTATGCAATAGTTATGAAAATAATTCAATGAAGATTTTAATATAATAAAATTTCTATAAGAGACAATTTTAAGTAAACAACGGTAATCTTTGGCTCTAGAAATCAAGTACTTAGATTTTATTTTTGTTTCGGAAACTCGATGAATCATATAATGATTCATTCGCGCGTTTATAATCTCTGAAATATCCAATAAAAGAGATAAATTTTATATTTATTGCCATCTAAAGATCATTTTAAATACTTAAGTGTGGTCTCGATGGTTTATAATAATTACCATAATTAGTATGCATTTCATTATGAATTTGTTCGTTTGGTTGAAGAGGTTTTCACACTTTTACGTTAATTTGACGTCATTTTAAAATTTGTTCGTTATAAAACTGAAAAGTGACGTAAAAATGACGTACACCAATCAACTACCCAAAATACAGATAGGTATATTCGTTTTATTATAACTTTTGTCGGTTTGACGTCATTTCTATATTTTTTTTAATAAAGTGACGTCAAATTGACGTAATATTGTATACTATTCTGGCAAAACGAATGCATTACATGTACTCAGGAAAAGTTTATTATAATTTGGAAAGGGATTTAATATGATCAAAATAAAGATAGTTATTTTCTACAGAAAAAATTGATTATGTCAAAAATAAACTAGAAAATATACTTAAAAATATACAGAACCGTAGTATTTATAAGATCTGAGTTATTACACGAAACAGAAACATAGGCTTTATGAGAAGAAAAATGATGGAGTGAACAGAAATGGAAATATCATTTAAAAGAAATAATAAGAAAAATAAGGAAGTCAGAGCATGAATAACTAACAATACAGAGGCAATAAAAGAAGCAAGATTGAAATGCTATAATTATGTAATGAACAGAGAAATTATAAAATCACAGCTGATTAAAAATATATTTCAAAACTTCATAAGAATTTGATGGATTGACTCAAATATATCGGGCTCCATTTCTCGCCATCGCTTCTTAGGCTTGACCCAGTGGACAGAAAAAAAGGATTCTTAGTGATTTCAGAACAGAGTCAAAACATGGGTTCAATCTAATTTTTCTATATATAATGGGGAAAAATAGTAATAATTTGAACTTTTTTGTGTTTTTTTTGTCCTTAGGCACCAAGATGGACTTTATTCCAATGCCTATAATAAATTTAGCCAGGCCCACAATGAGTCGTGCGCGTGATCAGAGATCGAGCATATGAAAAATTCCTGAGGTTGTTCGCCTGAATTCTATCTCGAATCCCCAGAGATATGCTGATACCTTAGCGCCCTGGCCATCCGGTCAAACTGTTAAACAAAACTATCAAGCAAAATTAGCAGACATAAATTTATACAAGTCACTTTTCATAAAGTTATATTGTCGAATCATGTAAGAATTTCTAATTTTGCTTTCTCATCATTGAAGTTTGTCGATGAAAACAAAACAAACTATTATGGTATTACATGCAAAAGTAAAATGAGTACCAAACTCGGACTCTTCTACAGAAGCGCGATAAGCGATAATCTGCTTCTTTAGAAGAATTCAAAGAAAATATAAAGTCTCTTGTCTTTATATTATCTTTCTTGCCTTTCAAAATATAAATATTTGCCTTTCTTACTCTAAACGAAACCAATATTTAGTGAATTACTTCCAACATTCACAAAATGGAGGATATGATCCATCTAGATCCTCTCGAAATAACATTCACAAGACATCTTGATTTTATTTTTTATTAACATATTAATAATATGCTAATAAATTTATAGTATTGCAATTAATAAAAATAATATTTATTTAAGGATAAAATTTTTATATTTTACAAAATATTTAATTCGAAATTTTCATCATGTTAGTTATGGCGAAAGCGAACGATGGTTCGATATAAAATTATTATTATCGGACACGGATGGAAAATTATTATTTTGAATAAAAACAACTTATTATTTACATAGCAATTTGTTCCGTGAGAACAATCTTCGTTACATCATACAACATGACACCACGATTCATATTTTAATACTATTACGTAGCGTTTAACCAAAACGTAAACTTTTTACCATATAAAACGTATTAATAACCGATTTTAAAATTAATACGCTGTAAATAATTCAAAACTTTTAAATTTTTAAAAATAACATTAATATTTAAATTTATAATAACGTTAAAAATAAACCGAAACTTTGATTAGAAAATGACGTCAATGCGGGTCATGCGTCGTTGGCGTAATGATATAGACGACCCTAACAATATTTCGATATTAAATGTTAAACTAGTTACGATTGGTTAAAATATCGTATATTATTTGATATTATCCAATAATATTCCTTTTTAATTAAATGACGATCATTTCGGTATAGAGTTCGATAAAGTTAATCTCGAACCACTTACTTAGCGAAATCGGTAATGACGGACATCTTTTGTATAGAAGGCTGAAAATTCGTTAAGTTTTTAATTAATTTATAATATAAAGAAGATGTCGGGATTCGATAGTAATCCTTTTGCCGATCCATATGCCAGTAATCCGTTTGCGGTAAGTAAAATCTTAAGAAAATTCATTAAGAGACGTGACAACGATCGTCTGCATTGAAATTTTACCAATGCCAAATAAGAAAATGGCTAAATTTTTATTTAAAAAATGGCAATTTTATCACTTAATTAAGCTTTAAAATCATTAAGAAACGGATGACGATCGTCTCCATTGTATAATAACATATTACTACTATTAAATATGTAATTATGTAGGATATATTAGTTTGCTTCACCTCTTTCATGTGCGGTATTTTAGAAACATTGTACAGATGTGACAAAGAAGACTGTTTACACCCTTCCAAAGTAAATAAATTACACAAACAAGTTGTGGAGAAATGTAACAATTACATTAAAAAAAAAATAACTGTTTTTAAGTACTTGGAAATAGAATTTTTAGTATGGTAAGTATATTAAAAATTAAGCTTTCGTCTTGTGTATAGAAAATATTTGGATGGTAGTAAGTGCTCTGTCTTGTCGGTCCGATTACGGGTGTAATTAGATTAGTTTCCTGACAGATTTTCTTCCCGTAATGAAAATCAATGCTAATTTGTTGTTTCTTTGTTCCCTTGTGTTTACTTGTTAGTGGTGGTGAAGCCGAATAAAATGTTTCCTTCTCTTTCTGTCTGCAGCTAGATGTGAGGCTTCTCTTCTGGCATTTCATTTCATCTATCTTCTCTTTGATTTTTATATATACTTACTGTCTGTTGTTATTTTTTGAGCTTCGTGTTCGATACCCTGTTTGATATTCTTTTGTTTTTCGCTGTGATGAGTTTGAATTAGCTTGATTTTTCCTTTTCTTTATTTTATCTGTAATGGTTTTTTTCAGTTTCATCTTTTTTAAATTTTCATTCCTTCATGTTTAATTTGTTACATCAATAATTGATGACAAATAAAGTGTTTACTGTTGTATTGTTTTATCGTGAGAAAAATATTTAATCTTGTAGCTGTTGTAGTTGGTCGGAGCTGAAAGCATTCATTTCAACCACTTGAATTATTTTTACCTTTATTGTTAAAATATATATATATTTTTTATAGAGAACCTGAATGTACTATTAATCTTTACATCATTAAATCTTATATTACATTTTGATATTTTGTATATTGACTGAATTTATTGTAGTAATTGCCTATATTTTATTATAAAAAGATACAATTAATTCTATAGAAGGACAATGATATGTGTTAATAAATTCTGTAATAAAACACTTCTATGTTAATAAAATTTTTATTTCACTTGTTAATAATTAATAATAAATTCTTTTTGGGCAACTTTTTTACTTTTAAAATTGTAAAAGCTGAAGAGGAGTATAAAAAATTGTGTGTTGTTTTGGATTGTAAAATTAAACAAAAGAAGTTACAAAAATTCAAGTCTGTGGGGGGAGGGAAAAGTTAATTTTAAATAAGTTTATAAATGTAGTTTTATAAAACTTTTTGGACATATTCCAGAGTTTTTGAAAAATGGAAGGAATTTAAATATGTTTAAAAATTATTGTTAACACATGTTTATACTTGGCTATTCTGTCTGTGAATTTTGATGATTGAAGCTCATTTAGTTGTGAATATGCATTTACAGTTATTTAGAGATAATTATGAATTTATAGTTATTTGATTAAATAATTTGAAACTTGGAAATTCAGTTTGAAGAAATTGGGTTTCCCATAATGTAATTGAGATAATTATTGCAATTGAACTATCAAATTCAAATGATCAAATTTCATAAATATAATCATTTCTAAAATCTTTTTAAACATATTAGTTATTTAGTAGAAAAGTTAAATTGCTAGAATTTATTAAATAAATCAAAGACAAGTCTGTCCAAGAGGAATCACCATTTATTTTGCATTTTAGACTACACATACACATTAATGGCGACAGGTCTTCCTTTTTAGGCTTCATGCCGCCAAAATATAAAAGAAGTCCTTTAAAAAACACAAACATCCAATGCTAGAATTTATATTTTATTATTGAAATGTTATGAATTTTAATTGCAAGTGGATAATGACAAAAAATAAATGTGATCTTAATTAAAATGATATGATGTTTTGTTTCAAACAACTATAATATGAAAAAAAAGGTGCAATTTACAAAAGAATTCTGATAAAAGACAATAAAGGAACATAGTAAATTATAGCTTGGTATGTCTAAGCCAGAGTAATAAAAGATTCAAAACAATCATAAACAAATGGTTGTTTTATAGAAGTAAGTTGTTGTTCAATCTGTTAAATGCTTGTGAGGTATTATTATTACACTAAATAGAAAACTGATGGAGTATAACCAGTTATAGTTTCTCTAAAAGAACTTTGTGGCTAAAAAGTGATATTTTAATGCCACAGTTAACAAAATTGTTATTATTTATTCATCATATTCTTTTCTATTTTTTTATATTAAAATAGATGTGTTATTATTGGATAGAATGCAAAATGTTACTTTAGCATTTAAATATTTTATCACACATCATTTAAATGTCAGTTGCAGGGAATGATGTAAAATTTTATAACTGTAATTTATCATTGTTTGAAGTTAAAGCTGTGAATATTTTATTAAAGTTGATCAATAAATACCATTTTATCAGAATATTTTGGTAATATGGAATTGAAAAAATTCCAGATTATCAAATTTTAAATTAATATATCTAATTTTTTAATAGTTCTATATAATAATTGGGAAAAAATAGAAATCATACTGTCATGAAGTCTTAGTTAAAATGAGCAAATATTTATTGTGACATGGTCACAATGTTGGGCTGCAATTTTTAATCATATTTTTAATTAATTTAATTAAAATATATGCTCTCAATATACTCTCAATCTCCTGTACATCATACTTTTTTAACAATAGTTCTACCACTCTTCTATTAACTGTTTTTGGGAGGAAGGTTTTGAATTGAAATAATGTGATTTCTGGTTTACATTGGAAGTTTATATATAATTAATTGGGGTCTCCTGCCCCTAAGGTTTCCAAATCTGGTCTCAGATTGCATCTAACTCCATTCTCAAGATTAAGGAAAGATGGATGGATGATTTATAACTCTAAAATTTTTTCAAATTGTAGCCCAAAAATAATACAAAAGCATTTATACTAGTGGTATTTTTTTATAAATATCACTAGTATAACAAACAAAGAAAATAATTTAAAATGTGCCTTTATAATAATTTGTCACTAACAGTATATGTTGATTTCTAATACTGTTATATTCTCAACTTTTCTTCAAACTCAATCAGCTGCTCTCTTGTTGTATAATGATACTAATGTAATTTCTCTGTAATTTAATGAATATCAGTGTGTTAAATGAATATTGATGCAGAAAAAGTGTTTGACAATTTTACTTGCAAAAAAGGTTTAATTGAATATTTATAATATTTATTAAAATTAATAATTTACTTCATATATTTTTTCATTGCTGTCACTATGCTCTTTCTTACATTGTAGTGAATAGAAATTTAAATTTCTTAGTTTTTTGAGATAATTATAAATTTAAATTGACTTATATAACAGTTATTCAAATGAAACATACTGGAACATATAAAATATATAGCGTCACTGGTCACTCTAGCAGGATTACAGTATACACAGCATAATAAGTTGCAATAGCTTCTGTAGGAATCATCTCCTGCATTCATACATATGTCGCAACATGGTACAAGTTTATGTATATCCTCCATACAGAAAGAGAAAGACTATTGGATGCTATAGAACTTTATCTAAAATAATGCAGCCCTGATATGTTGTCTTGCAACTTCCATGTTTTTGGATCTTTAAAAAGTTTCTCAAAGATCCAAAATTCTAGCCTGACAGCAAAATCCAAGCAGCTATAATTGAATGGTTTATTCAGCAGCCTTCCTTATTATATGTGGAGGTTATACACAAATTTCTACTGTGTCAGGATGTGTGTGAATGCAGGAGGTAATTTTCCTGTAGTGATGCAACTTTGTTGGTATTCCATATACAGTATACTGTAATTTTGCTATGGTGACCAGTGACTCCATACGTTTTATATGTCTATGTTTCATTTGAGCATCTCTTACATAATTAATCAACTCAACTTGTAATATGCTTTCAGTTTATATCAGAAATATAGGATTGTTTTAATAACTAACACTTTAGTTTTCTTAGTTCCTTCTGCATGGATATATATTTTAAGTATCAGAGTTACTAATTTGAATATTTTTCATTTAATAATTTCAGTCATTTAGTATACAAACATGATTCACAATCATTTGACATCATAGGTTAGTAGAATGCAAATTTACATTTTAATGAAAACATTGCAACATTAAAAAATAAATTACATGCAAACATTTTTCTCACTATAATAAGAATTGCTTAAAATATTTTTCCTATATAAATTTTTATAAAAATTATTGATACAAAATATTTTGAAATAATATGCTTGTTTATCAAATGGAAAATATGCAAGCAATATTTTAAAATTGAGGAAATTGTCTTTGTAACCCATGAATTATCATTTAAGAATTATTTTTAAGATCTGTGTTCTGTTATCTGCAAACCATCTGGCTGGCACTATAATTTTAAATTATACAAACGCATGCACGTTTTCACTTTAGTATCTTCTTCAGTCCTAAATGTTACTGATATGTTTAGTTAATCAGTGTTAATCATCTTAACAGAGTACAGGGAACTTTGATAAGATGGTATGATTCTTGCTTTACAATGTTACTTTGTTTTGTTTTATTAATTTGTATAATTAGGAATAGAAACTGTTTGGAGGACATTTCTGTGTCATACATACATACATACATATATATATATATAATGTATTTTACATTTTATGATCTAATAATGACATCAAGTTTAGCATATGTTTTAGTAGGTAGTTGTCATAAAATTTTCTGTTGGTAACAAAATTAAAAGTAAAGTCAATGCTGCAGTCCATAAGTTTTAGGACAACTTTTTTCCTAGACAGTAGTGTAATAATGTATCTGTCTGCCAACATACTAATTAAGTAATAGCAACTATTGTCTGTTTACCTGTAGATTGAGT